ATTAATTTAGCCAGATATAAGATCTATATACAAAAATTAATTGCACATATATTCACAAAAAACAAACAATTACAAAATACGATTTTACAATGACATCATTTTTGGTCAGCTTTATCACCAGCATGCAATAATTATTTAAACCTCTCTTTCTTTGGATTTATCTCAGTGCTTACCACCACCATTTTTTGGCCCTTTTAAAAAAATTAACTAACAGTGAACTGAAGCCAATATTCAAATCATTTTTGTCCGAGAGGGATGTGGTTGCTATCATGTGTAACACGGTCTGGTTGTCCCTACACAGTAAGGAGAGACATAAGCAGGGGGAGCGGGAGAGGGACAGGCAGACTCCCCGCTGAGCAGGGAACCCAACGCGGGGCTCGATCCCAGGACTATGACCTGAGCCAAAGGCAGACATCCAACCAACTGAGCCACCCAAGTGCCCCAGAAACCAATTTCTTGTCTTCTGACATTTGGTCTTGCAGCAGGAAGCTCTGAAGCCAGTGAGATTCATTTTTCATTCCTTTGGAAGTAACTGTCTCTTCCTTCCAGCTCTGGAACTTGCAGGATTTTTCTTACAGAAGTGTGTGACAGGCATCACTATTGCTGACCAGTATTTGGTTCCCCTTTACCTCTGCATAAATGGAAAACTCCTGTTTCTCAGCTCCTTGGCGACCTGCCGGGCTAGTGCAATGTTTGGGAGTGATGTGTCTCACTTCCCACAGAGCTATTGAGGAACAAGAGTTCCACTTTCCAGCACTCTCTTCCCTGTGGTGATGGCCAGAGAAGCACGTGTTGATGTGCATATCCATGAAGTCAATGTCCCTCAGATGCTGAACTGGCCCACAGCAGACTCCCGCCCTGGACAGTCATCTGGGCACGTGGGCTTCACAGGAGCAAGAAAAGACATTATTTGTGTGAACACACTCAACTGGGGTCCTTTGTTACTCCAGCAGAATCTGGCCCGTGTTCTGATAGTTTGTACCTTTTTCAGCGATTATTAACGGAAAATCACATTTGTCATCCAGCACTTAAGAAATTCTTTTTCCCACTCAGCCTACATTTGTTGCTTGCATTCTCATGCTTCTGGCCTTTCCTTCAGGGACACCATCACACGCTAGCTGCTTCTCTCTTCTTTGTCATCTTCCATCTCTCAAGTCAGCAAGCTTTTCCTGTCAAGGGCCACATAGTAAATATCCTGTGCTCATGGGCCAGAGGATCTCTGTCACTGTTCCTCAGCTGCCATCGGAGCATGACAGATTCTCCAGGTAACACATAAATGAAGGAGCATGTCTGCATTTACTTTACTTACAAATTCAGGTCATGAGTTCAATTTTGTTCAAAGGCTCTAGTTCGCCAACCCTTGCCCTAAAAGGAGAGAGCAAACAAAGAAAGAGTTAGATGTGGGGTCGAGAAAGAGAGCATTTTCAACACTGGATATGGCCAAGGGCATTCCCAAGGGCATTTCCAAGGAGAAGGCCAAAGGGATATGTCAGGGAGGCAACTTTGCTAAAGGCCTGGGGGAAGCTAGTCCAGACTGGGGCCAGAGGACATTAGACCACCTAGGGATGGACCAGAGGAACAAAGCCAGCTGATGAACTGATATATTCAAATACACTAAGGCGAAATTTACATTTGGGAGTAGAGTTTAGGGATGAATTGATGATGGTGGCTAGAATATAAACTTTAAAATTAAGGCAGTTAATAACTTCATGGAAAATAAAAAGCTGTACCACAGAGGAAATGTAATCATTATGAACTATATGACTGGGTTATGAAAAAGACATATACATGGTCAGGAAGAATAAAATCTAAAAATTAATTTTATTAGTAACTCTATTTGACTATTTGGAGAATAAAGGTGGAGGAAGGGACAGGCAGGGGCATGATGGGACAGAGAGAAAACTTCATCTTCCATAGGGCACATTTCATGGATAATACGAACTCCTGTCTATTAGAGAAATATCGGTATAACAGTAAATACAAAAACTACTTAAAAGAAACTCCCTGGGGGCTGTGCCTGGCTGGCTCAGTCAGTTGAGCATCCTACTCTTGGTTTCTGCTCAGGTCATGATCTCATGGGGAGTGGGATCAAGCCCTGCAGCCAGCTTTGCGCTCAGCGGGGAGTCTGCTTGAGAATCTCTCCCTCTGCCTCTCCCCCTGCTCGTGCACATACTCACCTCTCTCTCAAATAAACAAATACATCTTTAAAAAAAAAAAAAAACAGTGACTCCCTAGCAAGAAAGAGAGCTAGAGTGTTTGGGCATAGAACTACTGCATTTTTATTAACATGAGTTTATAACCTACAATTTTTGGAGCTACAAGTTTTGAAGACATGTATAAGCATGATTTTGATGAAATTTTAAAACAAAATAATACTGCAACAGCCACTGTACCCTTTTTCAATTCCTAGATTTAGAACTGCTGAGTCAAAGGTGATTTCTTTTTTAAAGTAGATTTGGGTTAATCTGACTACACTGTCTTTCAGAAAGGTGGTATCAATATGTTTACCCAGTAGAATATGCAATTGTCTTTTCCCTAAAGGTCCTCCAACCCTGGTTATCATCATTTATCTTAACTCTTGTCAATCTGATGAGAAGAGTGGTTTTGCATTTATTTTCATAATATCCCCTTTGGATATGTTTTCCTTAACATTGTTCATTTGTATTTCTTCTGTAGAAAAGTACTTGTTCATAACTTCACTCCCTTTTCCTATTGAAATATTCATTTTCTCTTATTATTTAAAAGACTTGTTTTTCATATGAAATCGAATAACCCTTTATCTGCCAAATAGGAAGGAAACCTTAATTCACAGCTGTGATTTGCTATTAAATGTTGTTTGTCATATCTTTTTATCATGTCTAAGTATTAATCTGTATGTAGAATGACTGAGCATTTTTCCCTATATAATTTCTGGCACCAGGGACATGATTAGAAAGTTCTGCTCTAAATGACATAACTTTTATTTTTATTTCCTTTTAGAAGTTTGCTGTACTGCTTATTCCATGTCTACATATATAATTAAAAGTCAAGCACATATGATGTTGTGGATGTTGATTCTTGATGACAGATATTCACTGAAGAGTTACCATGAAGTTACCATGTAACAGGCACTTCTGTAAATGTTTGCAAGGGTTTACTTATTCCCAGAATGATCATATTAGTGATCCATCATTATCTATTAAAGGAGGAAACTTGGACTTTTTTTTTAAAGATTTTATTTATTTATTTGACAGAGAGATAGCACAAATAGGCAGAGGGAGAAGCAGGCTCTCCGCTGAGCAGGGAGCCCGGTGCAGGGCTTGATTCCAGGACCCTGGGATCATGACCCAAGCAGAAGGCAGACACTTAACCAACCGAGCCACCCAGGCACCCCAGAAAACTCAGACTTTTAGAGGTATAGGAGTTTGCTCAAAAACTTCCTGTCCCCTGGGCACTACAGACCCAGGCTGATCAGCAGGGAACAAGTCAGAGCCAACCCCAAGCTGGGGGGACATAGAGATAGTGGACTGTGGGCAAAAAGTGATCTTGGGGAGCTGCAGGGAGGAGGCATCCCTTCCCGGTGGTCAGCAGCAACCAGACAAAGGGGAAATTGCTGTGGGAAATAGTTGCTGCACACCCTCACGCAAGGGACACACACCTACACCAGCCAGGGCCAGAAACCCCCGTCCCTTAGAAGGGTGCCCCCCACCCCCGCATTTTGTCTGTTATTAGGTTCGGAGAGGAAACACGGAGCCCAGCCCAAGGCCAGGAAACAAACTGCCGGGAGCTCACCTCTGCAAGTGCATGTGGTTTGGTTTCCTGCCCTGTGGGCCAGGCTTCAGCAAAAGGCCCCGTCAGAAGTCAGGAAGCTGGTCTGGCTACATCTGCATGGCACCATGTGACTTTGAGCGGGTCACGGACAGATCTGAGCCTCAGCTCCCCCGTGTGGAGAGAGCACACACAAACACACTGAGTAACCTAACTCAGGCAAGTGGGTAGTGGGCGTCGTCCCAAACTTTCCTTCTGGCTCCACAACTCCATCCTGCTTTTCCCCGGGAGTCTCTAGGCAAGAGAGCCCACGGCCCTCCTGTGTCCCTTCTCTTCTTGTCTGTCCCTTTGCCCTTATCCTCAGTCTCTGCTCACTCCCACTGCTAGGAGCAGGGCTCTGCACCCAGGTAGAATGGGGAGCAGGAGTCAGGGGGCAGGGGGCCACAGGGGATGTGCAACCAATAACCTCAATTGGTTCAAAGCCCCTCTTCAGTCATGAGCTCTGTGCAGGGCTCCCTGCAGTGGCTGCTAGACTGGCAGAGCCCCTGGTGGCCGAATGTGCAGTTACATGTTAGCACAGGGCGAGGTGTCTTGACCTCTCTCTCTCTCTCTCTTTTTTGTTTTATAGAAAATCTCTTTGTAAATTGCATCATTTTTTAAAGTGCTAACATTCACTAAAGAAAGAGATGCCGGAGTCCTGCGTCTGTTTGTGTAGCAATTACACAACCAGCGCTCTTGTGCCCACAGGGGGCAGGAGTTGAAGATTTAGAAGTAACTGGGGGTCCAGGCTCTTGTGCTCTACCCCCCCGCCCCTCATTGACCCATCCCTGCCACCAGCCCGGCTCTCTTTGCTCCCAGCCTTACTTTCCCCTCCTTTGCTCTTTCTTACTGGTATTGAAACTCCGCCTGCTCTCCTCTCCCCTCCAGCACCTGTAAAACCTCCCAGGGTGGAAACACATCACTGACTCACCAGGCAGGACTAGGCATGAGGTTTCTGACCAGTCCCAGGGCCAGTGGGATTTAGGGTTCTTGCTCAGACCTCTGAGTGCCCCTGAGCTCGTCACCCACCTTCAGCGTGGCTTTCCCTGGAGAGGGGGGCAAAGCCAGGGTCCTGCAAAGAAGAGGCAGTGCACAGAGAGAGGTGGGTGGGCAGCCCATTACTTGACCACAGCTTCCTCCTGGCCATCCCAGCTCCTCCCCCAAGGGCAGGTCCTGATGGGGAAGGGGCAGCTGGGCACAGAGGAGAGGAGCAGCCTCTATGGAGACCCAGGAGCCGTGCTCCAAGCAGGGCTGTTGCCTCCACGTCCAGCTTTGCACCTGCCCCTGGAGGTCTCTGCTTCCCTCTGCGTGCAGTCAGCCTTCCCCAGGTCTCCCGCTCCCCAGGCTGGCCTTGGCCTTTCTCGTTTTGTCTATCTTGGAAGCACTGGAAAAGCTAAGCAGAGTGAGACCAGCTCCTGGTTCTCTCTCCCCAGTGTCCCCCATGTCTCCTGCCACCAGCCCACAGGGAAAGGGCTGGAGGGTCTGGAGAGCCTTACTCCTGCTTCTGCTGCTGCTGCCACTGCTGATCCCAGGTGAGGGGGAAGGGAAGAGCGTGGGGAAGAGAGGAGAAGGTGCTATGAGGACATTTGGGACAGTGGGACGTGGCACTAGTGCTCTGTGCGCGGGGACGGCTGGTGGAGCTGATGCTGGTGTGACCCTGACCTGCAGCCTGCTCTCCAGGCTCATGGGCACTACCGGAGGCTCAGCATCTTCACCGAGTGGCGGGGCAGACGCTCTCTGTGACATGCCAGTACCCCCCCAAGGGCTGGCCCTACGAGAGGAAGGGCTGGTGTAAGGAGCTGTCAGCGTTCAAGTGCACCAGGCTAGTCACCAGCTCCAGTCCCGGCAGACTGGTTCAGGCCTCTCGATTCTCAATCTGGGACAACCCTAGTGCTGGTGTCTTCACTGTCACCATGACTGGTCTGAAGGAGGAAGACTCGGGACACTACTGGTGTAGAATCTACCACGCTTCCAGCAACTCTGTCTCTAAGTCCACAAGATTCTATCTGGCAGTGTCTCCAGGTAAGCCCTTTCCCGGGGGTCCCTTCACTCCCTCCTGGTGCCTCCTTGTTTCCTAGCCCCCCCATCCAGTTCTCCTGGGAAAGTTGTTGGGAACAAGTGCACGCGCGCACACACACACACACACACACACACACACACTTCATTTGCTGTCCGTCTTGATGATTTACAGGCCTCCTAAAAGATGCTCAAACAGATCATTTGAGCATGCTGACCAGCCTGAGCTCCTATGACCTGGCCACAGGGGAGCCCAAGACTGCCTGGCATTTTTAGAGAAGGCACACTATGTACCTGGCACATAGTAGGTACTCAGTGAATGTCTGGTCACTGGCCACAAACCGCCCCCCACCATGTTGGTAGCATGTTGGGCTGTCCATTCCTCCTGGCCCAGATCAGCAGTCAGCAAACAGGTCTGAAAGCCAAGGATGGTTTTTAGATGGTTGGGAAACAAGTAAAAGAAAAATAAGATTTTGTGACACATGAGAATTCTAGGAAATTCAAATTTCAGTGTCCAGAAATAAAGGTTTTTTTGGGAACACAGCCATGCCCATTTGTATATCTATGGGCTGAGGCCATTGTCATGCTACAGGAGTGAAGGTGAATAGTCCCATCAGAGACCATATGGTCCACAAGGCTAAAAGTTGTTATAAAAACGGACCACGTTTTTCATTGCATGTATGCATGTAGGTGATGGATGTAGTTGCTGAACATTCTAGTCGTAACGTTGTTGTGCCTCAGTCATAACTGAGCAAAAACTTAGAAGTGAAATAGCAATTTCCCATATTAAATGCCATCCACACTTTGAACAAACACCCTGTATATCCACACTGAAGGATTTTAATGTGACAAAAGAGTATTCTTTTTGCTTGTTAACTTACCTAATCTGAATGACACTAAGACACCATAACTCTTCAGAGAAAATACATTCAAATTGTTTAAATGTTTTGTTTTATAGACTTATAATAGAATATATTCTTATAATAGAAAACCGGTCTCACAGAGTTATGTTGACAGAAATCCAGGAATTTTAAATCAATTTCCACAAGCTCAATATTTTTATTTTTAATTTTTACAAAAGGAAGCGAGTGATGTTATATTTTCAAAATGCATCCTCAATCCTTCATCAGGAGCTAGTTCCAAAATTTATGAAGTTATGTTTATATTTAAAATATCTTTTGATGAAAAAATGGATTCTGGATCTATGAACTTCCTATCACATATCTTCTTTTGGCAGAAAATAAAATTGAAAACATTGTATCAAATTATTAAGGTTTTTCCATGAGTACTTTTGCAGATATGCAATATCAAAATCATCTCCTGTTCTGTTGATAATTGTTACCAAATTAAGAACATGCTGTAACAACTCATAGAAACTTCTTCTAAGCCTCCAACTTTTGTTTTTGCCCTGAGATTTTGTTAGCCACTGAAAAATATGTTGTGTTCTTCCCTTGCATGGAATAACCTCAAAGCCCTAATATAAACAAGGCTGACTGTGTGATTCACATCTTTAAAAAGTTGGTCATAACTCCATTTCAATCTTGCCAAAACATTAGAAGCCCTTTTCATAGATTAAACATTCTCAACAGAACTCTCCCCCTCGGTAATCACTGTGAACTTAGCATGCAATAACAACCATGCAGGGTTTCCACATTATCACATCATAAAGAGAATGATTTCAAATTCAACGCATTCATCTTTATGTAATTCACAATTTTTACCACTTTGAGAAGCACACAGTGGAGGTCAGCTGGTACTTTTTTATAGCAAGTATCCTTAATCTGAATGACCGCTCCAGAATGTCCTCCTGCCCAAGCAGCTACAACCATCAGAACATAGTCCTACCTGAAACTGGAGCCCCAAAACCCTGGTCAATAATACAACCCTTCAGAGCTCTCTTCAGCTCAGGGTTAGTTGTGTTTCTGACAATGAAGCAAAACGAGAGAGGAAAACCTCTCAACCTGTTCAAAATTGCACGTACAATAAAAAGAATAGCTACGTTTGCAGTATGTGTGCATTTTTCAAGTTGCCACGAAAAATACTTTGCTAGCTTGACTTGTTCCAGGAGCTGATCTTCCTTCTCAATTGCCAATTCCTGACGATGTGGAGCTAATGTGTCAATAGAAAGGGATGTTTAAGCTCCCTTCCTTGCCACAGACTAACAAAACACAGAGGAGCAAATACCTATAATACAGTCTTGTGATAACGTTTGACAACTGTAGATAGATACTCTGTCTTTGCAACACAAAGCTGCTACTTTACAAGAAGCCCACAGCACGTTAGAGTTTGTATGTGAAATACTGACTGCTTTTAAGAACTTTGTAATTCAATCCTCTTTTAAAAAAAAAAGTTTATTTTGAATTTGTGGTTTTATGTTTTCCACGTAAATGTCACTTGTTTTCATGATGTATTTGTTCATTAGCTAGTACATCTTAACAGCTAACTCGCTGGGTTTTAGTACTTCATTCATTGTAACTACAAAACTCATACTATAGATGAGTGTCATCATTTCCCATGGCTGTTGGCACACATCTCCACAAAGGTAGTGGCTTAAAACCTCACAGATTTATGATTTTACAGTTCTACAGATCAGAAGTCTGGAAGGGGTCTCACTGGGCTAAAATCAGGCATCAGCAGGCTCTGCTCCTTCCTGAAGGCTGTTAGATAGAATTCACTTCTTGCTCATTCAGGTCTTGGGCAGAATTTTGTTCCTTGTAGCTATAGGACCAAAGTCCTGTTTTCTTGCAGACTATGGACTTTTCAGCTTTCACAGCTTCTAGAGGCTGCCACATCCCTTGGCTTGTGGCCCCCTTCCTCCGTCCTCAAAGCCAGAGGCCCTTTCCCAGCTGCATTTCTCTCTTACTACAACTGGGAAACACTCTCTGCTTTTTTTTTTTTTTAAGACTTCATCCATTTACTTGACAGAGAGAGAGAGCATAAGCAGGGGGAGCAGCAGAGGGAGAGAGAGAAGCAGGCTCTCCGCCGAGCAGGGAGTCAGACTCGGGGCTCGATCCCAGGACCCTGGGATCACGACCCGAGCTGAAGGCAGACACTTGACAAACTGAGCCACCCACTGAGCCACTGAGGTGCCCCCACTCTCTGCTTTTAAATACTAATCTTTAGAGGGGGCCCACCCGGAATATCTCTCCACCTCAAGATCTTTAACTTTAATGGCATCTGAGAAGTCCCTTTGGCCATGTAGGGTGACATTCACAGGTTCCTGGGATTAGGTAGGACACGGACATTGTTCTGCCTACCACAGTGAAGGATTACATTTTCAAATAAAACCAATGCAAACCCTTTGGAATAACTTCAGAAGGGAAAGTATCTTTAGAATTAATTCCACTATCACCATTTGGTTTATTATTACTGAGACATTCAGAAAACAGATGGCTTTTCTTGATAAAAAGCTCAGTGACTTCGTTTTGCTGTTAAGTATTCCTTGAATGAGCTAATCACTACTCTGTCTTATCTAATCATGTTAAACTCTAAATTTTTTTAAAAGGATAGATTGAAAATTTCAATGATTATAAGAATAACAAATTATAAAAATAATTTTTTCAGGTTTTTATACACTTTTGGGTTAGAGTTGACCAACTAATGTTCAAATGTCATGGTCTTACTCTGCTGTCATGTAGCTTGCCCCATATGGAGCCCTCCGTGACAGGGTGACAACACCCAAACTGGTCTATATCCTGTTCAACTGCACCAGTTTACCAATCACATGCTTGGACCTTGAGGCAATGTCAAACTGATATAAAAGTTTCAAGATCCTTACTCCCGATTTCTATATTTACCTTGTGCAGGCAGGTCATAAACAATTTGTGGACCAGGACCAAACCATAGATCACACACTGTAGCTCAGGACTAGAATTTTCCCCTGAGGGTCCTGAGGACCTCCTCCAGTTTAGACGTAGGGGTTGCTCCTGGTCCTCACTCCAGGCAGCCTCAGAGAGAGTGCCCTTGTGGGACAGGATCATGTCCACATGTCCGTTGGCCTGGGACTCTCCCCAGGGAAGTCCCCAGCCATGAGGTATCCCAGTATCAAGTACTCTTTCCTCCATGCCTCCTCGGGCCCTGCCTCTCTCTTTTCCCCAGCTTGGGGGACACTGCTCCCCTCTTGGGCCCTGGGTGGGTGTGCAGACCTAGCTGAGGACACTGAGAGACCACAGTTCCTGTCACAAGGTTGGGGCTGACACCATCTGTTTCCCTTCTGGCCCTCACCCACCCCCGATAGTCATTGTCTTCTCTGTCTCCTTGATAGCCCCATCACCTTTCCAGAGGTGACCTTCCACCAGCCTCCATCAAGAGCTCTTAGTGTTGGTAGGTCTGGGGACTTTCTGGGAAGGCAAGGCAGTGGGGATGGGGGACAGGGAGCTCACAAAGTTTCAGAATCAAGAGGGGGCCCCAGAAAAGGCATTTACACAGACCACTGAGGCAGTGGGGCCTGCAGAAGGGCTTAAGGTTCTGTTGCCAAACCAGGAAGGACAGGGGTGGGAAAGCAGTCTTAAAGTTCCCCATAAGGGACCCCCTTCCCCTAATAGCCCCAGAAGTATGAGGAAAGGAATGGATGCCAGAGATGAGAGCTGCTTAAAGACAGTGACTGTGTCTACACTCAGGAAGGCTGAGAGCTAGAGAGTGCCCTTCCAGATGTGTACAAATGCTTGGAGGGAAGCCCAGGCATCCTGACTCCTCTTCCAGGGCTCTTCTTAGATCCAGGAACACGCCCACAGGCACTGGATAGAGCCTGAGCCGCAGCTCTCTAGTGTTGAGCCACAGGACTTCACAGCCCAGTCCCACCACCACGAATTGGTTTTTTCCAGGGTTGATGGGCTGTTCCCAGTCCAGCCCAGGCCCCTGCCCCATCTTTCCTACCAGCCAGAACAGACATGCTGTCCCACCAGCTAACGAGGGTTCTTTCTTTCTTGCTGACAGCTCGTGCCTCCACACAGGCCATCCGGGCTTCCGGTGAGCTGGTCTCATCACCGACCCAGAGCTCTGTGCCCCCCACTGGAAGAGTCAGGGCGGCCTCCGGGGCTTCCTCTGCCCTCACCGCCCCTTCACAGTGAGTTCAGAGTGGGACCCTCTGGGACCCTCTCCCAGACGGCCCTGGCTCAGGGGCCCGCAGGTGAGACTGCCCCCCAACACGCTCCTCTCATCTTCTTGTCCCCTGTCCTCCAGGCAACAAAACTCCACCCTCCAGTCTCACCCTGCAGCCCCCAGTGCTCTGGTCCCCATGCTCTGTGCACTGCTTGTGGCCAAGAGCCTGGTGCTATTAGCCCTGCTTGTCCGGTGAGTGGGTTTGCTTGGGCTTGGGGGGAAATGGAGCAGGGAACAGCTTCTGTCCCTGGACCCATGGTCAGACAGGGAATCAGCCGGCAAACACAGAGACAGGAAAAATTATACCCAACAGAGGGTTGGGTATTATTATACCCAGTCCAGAGGAATCCCTCACAGACTCCATCCATCGTGCGTGCTCACTAGTGGCTCCCCTGTGTCTCTCTCGAACTCAAGTGCCTTGTCCACATTTCTCCATCTGTTCTTCCCCCGCCTCTTCTCCTCCTCCTTTCCTTCCCCTGCCCCTCTCCCACTCTGATTCATCCCTCGTCCTGTACCACTGGCCTGTATACAACCTCCCACCGCCCGCCCTTCCAGGAAGGTCTACCCAAAGCCACCAACCCAGGGCACCTCACAGGGCACAGCCCCTCCCCAAATGGCGAGGGACAGAGGCTGTGCACGGGACAGGACGGAGAACCGTGCCCTGGGGAGCGGGGAACGCAGGAGGGGGAAGGTAGGTGGGGCTGGGTGAAAAGCAAGACAAAGAGTCCCCGGTGGCAGGCTTGCTGAAGGAGGGACGGGCTGTGGGGACAGAGCAACAAGATCCAAGAGTGGATTTGTCACTTTCTGTATTTCTACCCCCCTCCCTACCCCGTCTCAGAGCCTTAAGGAGTCCACGTGTGCAACATAGAGGGATGTGTCTGATGTGCGCAGCTCGGCCCAGACTCCAGGCCTTGGGGTCCAAGAAGGATGGCCATTCTCCCCCAGGCCCCCGGGGAGCCCCTGCCTGGCCTCTGAACCCTTCGCTCACTGCAAAGAAAAGGCAGAAGTCCCCCAGAGCTTGATCCAAGACCCTTGACTACACCCCTCACTCCAGGGCGGAGGATTTCCCAGCCTGGCCTCCTCCCAAGATCCAGGCCCACTAGTGGCTCACAGGCAGTTGGCATCTGGGACAGCACCGTCCAGGTATGGGAGCCGAAGGCCAGTGCAGCAGCTGCCCACCAAACGCGAGCCAGCGCTGCGGGCGACTCTGACTCCTCTCCCCACCGCCTCCTCCCCAGCCCGGCTCCTCATGCCCCTGCTCCCGTCCTCCCGCTCCCCTCCCCGTCTTCCCTCTCCCTCCCTCCTCTCCTTCCCCTCCTCCTTATGCCCCTTCTTCCCTCCCCTTGCCCCTCCTATCTGCAGCCCTACAGCTCAGCCAAGATCCCAGGTCACTAACACCTCCCTCCCTATCTCCATTTGCTCAGCCACACTCTGCCAAGACCCTCTGTTCTGCTTCTCTCTGTTGCTTCCACCTCTCCCTCCTCTTCCTCCCACTTTGCAAATCCCCACCACCGGGCACTTGTACTCGGCCAGTCTGTCAATCACCTAACTGGTGTCCTGCCTTTGGTCCCTACCTCCTGGATTGTTCCTCCTTATCCATTCCTTCTCAACAACACCCCTGTGCACTTTTACTACATGGGGGTGGAGTCCAGTGTCATGACTGGGGCCTCATGCTCTGCCAGCTTCGGCCACCCTTTGTCACCATGTCACTGTGCACCCCCCGTGCTGCCCGTGTCACTGCCACCAAGATGGCTGCAGGCTCTAGAGAGGAGTGACCCTCCTTTTTCCTGTGCCAGCTGAGCAGGAGGCTCCACAATAGAAACCAGCCTGGTGTGACCCCAGGCTCTGCCCCTCGTAGGGCTATTGTCTCTCTGGCACTTACTCTCTCAATGTCAGACTTTCCAGACTGAGCCTCTTTCTTTTCCCTCCTGTTCTTCATCTATTTTTCTTTATTCCTCTTTCTGGGAAAGTTCCTCAAGTTTACGTTCCAGCTCTTCTATTTGAAGATTTACTATTTATGCTACCACATCTTAACATTTCTAAATGGTCCATTTGTTCTCTGAATGTTCCTCTACAGCATGCATGTTTTCTTTGGGGACGCCATTTTTTCTTGGGCAATATTAAAGTTTTCACTTTTGAGGGTTTTTTTTTTAAGCCTTGTGTATCTTCTGTTTCCTCCAAATACTTTTTCATATCTTCTGTTTTCTCCTTTCCTTGACCTCTGTCTTTCCTCAGAACTTTCTGGAAACCTGTGCTGCTTCTTGGCAGCCCATCAGGAGTTAAAAGCTTGGATGCTCCATGTGTATTACAGAGCTTTATGGACCCTACATTGATTTGGCGAGGGCATTGTTATGGACTGTTATGTACCCCCTCTCCATTTATATGTTGAAATCCTAAACCCCCCGCCAGATGATGGTATTTGTAGGGGGGCCTTGAAGGTGACTAGCTCCTGAGGGCTCCTCCCTCATGAATGGGATTGGTGCCCTTATAAAAGAGGCCCCACAGCATTCTCTGGCTCTTTCTACCATGTGAGGACACAGCAAGTAGACAGCCCTGTATGAAGCAGGAAGTTCTCGCCAGACACAGAATCCACCACCAACTTGGTCTTGGACTTCCCAGCCTCTGGAACTGTGAGAAATAAATGTTTCGTAAGCCACCGAGTCAATGGTATTTTTGTTACAGCAGCCCAAGTGGACTAAGACAAGCCCGGCTGCATTTTTTTTCTCTTTGACAGCTCAGTTTCTCCAAAAAGGCTCTTTGAACTGTCCTCCTGGGGGTGGAAGCCTGGTTTTAGGCACCAACTATAACAAAGCAAAGGGGCCTCTCTGCCCAGCATCTGTTTTCACTCACTTGGGCACCAAGTGGAATACACTTTCTCTCTCTATGGTGCCTGGTGCCCTGACTGGGCGTCTGTGTGACTCAGCCCTCGTCAGAGGCTAACCTGCAGGTTGTCAGTGGGGCTTAAAGAGCGGAAAGAGAAAGGATGTGGGCAGTTGACCCACTCGCTCTGTCTCGGGGGAGGCAGAGAAGCTACGAGTCCGACTGCTTCTCAACCCCAGCCCCCCACTTGTAGTCTGCATCCTGGACTACCCACGCCTCCAATTTCTAGGGCTTTCTGGGATCCTACGGTAAAAATGACTCACTTCTTATTTCTCCTACCCCCACCTTTCTCTGGCCCACTAAGGTCACCCAATTGTTACCCAGATTTAAGATGTCCATGGAGCTCCCTCTCCATCCTTGAAGATGGATTTATATAATTTTTACCCATTTACTACCACTTCCCTCACACAGCTTCTATACCTCCTTAGCAGGAGCAGACGGGACTAAGATTTTTCCATCAAACCACCCCTCCCCACTCCCACCACCATGGGCAGGACCGAGCAAGACCCCAGATCTCCATTTGCTCCTGTGAAGACTCCTGGCCCCTTCTCCACCCCGCCCCCCTACAGCCAGTGCTGGAACCCCTAGACTTGTGGTTTCATTCCTTTTTCCCTATCCATCCCAATCATAAGAGCCCAGGGCTCCCTGGTCCTCCCTCATCACCCAGGATCACGTTGCAATAAGACCTTGTGAATTCATCAAGTTAGCCCCATTTCCCTCTCTTCCCCAAATCTATCAATCTTTTCTCTCTGCCCTCTGAAACATGAGCACTCGTGGTCTCAACTTCTCTGTAGGTCACCTTCCTATGTTCACTAAAATCTGCCTCTCTTCCGAGAACACTGCTCTCTCTGTAGTTGGGGACATTTCACTTTCCTTCACCACGAGGCCTGAGGTGGGAAGGGTGTCCTCTTCACTCCTCATTGCCACTTCCTTTCTTATTACCTTCCCTAAAGCAGCTCCACGATTTGATTTCCTGTCATCAGACTATACCATAGACCCCGTTATTATCACATCTCCTATACAATCTGGAGTCTCCCTCTTTCTTCTCATTGGCCTTAACCCTTGGCTCACAGTCACTCCCATGGCTCTTGTCATCATCTTTGGTGAGCTGGGGCCCACTTGGACTCATAGATGATCCTTCCAAATCCCTGGCCTCCCAGTTCCTGACCTCCTCTCCCACAATGATCACATCCCCTTCCCTGCCTTGGCCACCCATTCAGATGGTCAGCAGGAATAGCAGCTCCCCTCCTTGCTCTCAACTCGGAGCACCCACCTTCCAGCCACCACCTGTCTCTCTAACTCAAGCCTACTGACCTGATCACAGTGCCTTTTCAACACCACTGGGATCCCTGATCCACTAGTCCTGCCATTTTGTTCCCCTCCCTCAACTCACTCATGGTTTCCTTTCCCTTGGATTCCATGGCCCATCCTTACAATCACTCTTTGGCACACAGTTTCAGTTTCTTTTCCCCCTCTGCTTTCATTGAACTCCCCTGGCACAACTCCAGTCCTGGTTGTATCCAGCTTTCCATTGCTCCATCCTGCATCTTGTCCTAAAGCTGAACATGGCTGGGGAAAACCAACCTATCATGGGAAGTGTCTCTCTGTACAGAAATGTTCTCCATTCTAGACCTCTAGTTCACACCACCCTCTGGACCCTCAAACTCCAGTGTCCTCTCTTCACCCTCATCTGGTGCCCTTGCATCTAAACTCACTGAGAACAACAAGGCCTATTTGGTCCAACTGCACCCATCAATCATCCCCCTTTTGTACCCCAAGTGCATTCTCTTCTCCCTGTTCCCATCACAGGCCAAACTCTCCATATAGAACCCATCCCATCCTCTCTTGTCCTACATAAGAAAATTGCTCCAGAAGTTCGCCCCCCTCTCATGTGTCATGACAACCAGAATATAAATGGGCTATGATGTATTAAAAACTCTCTCTTG